TTCATAGACAAAACCGACCCACGGGCCTGGTTTTCTCTGTGAAAACAACGGGTTCGGTGCCGGGTTTGGCCCCCGGGCGCTGCGGGAGTCGGGCGGCGGGGAGGAGGGCAGAGCGCAGCCCCAGGACATGCCCGGCTCCGGCGGCGTGTTGGGATGCGGTGACCTTGGGGACCAGCCTGGAGGTTTGGCTTTGAGGTTTAGTTTATTTCCCCCCACTCCCCCGCATTTGGAATCGCTGCACCACTGCAGTGTGTTGCTGCATATTCCAGTCTTTCCCTCTCACCACGATGGTGTTTCCCGAAGGTAGGCGCAGGTGTCGGGAGAGCCCTGGTCAGGAACACAGCTCCCTGCAGCCCTCTGTGCACTGCCATTCACACAGCGTGGAGTTCAGCTGTGCAGCTTACTCCTTTGCTCGGTTTCCTCTTCCTGGGGGAAGCTTCTGCCAAACCTCACTGATATAATGGTTTCCAGCCCACGTGTAACCATAAACAAGTAACTTTTTAGTCTCTTCAGCCAAAATTGTTCCTGTGGCTTTTCTTATTTTAATTGAAGCATCTCATTTACTCTCCTCATGCCCATGTTTACTCTTCCTGTTGTCTTTATGGACAAATAATCATAGCTCTTTCAGTCTTTGTTTTGCTAAGTTGTATTTTGCTCTTCTATAAAATTTATTTAGATTTTGTGCATCATTCTAGGAGCTCATCTGTCCCCATGTTACTTCTCTTTTACACCTGGGATGCCAGAATTGCAGGCAGCTCCTGAGGTCTTAGCTTGCTGCCTCGCTGTGCAAGGGAACATGGGTGATCCCTAGCACCTTGGTTCCTTAAGAGCACATTGCTCGCAAAGAGCAGAGTGGGTGGGAAAGGGACTGGAAAGAACCTGTTTAGTGTAGGAGGGCAGGTACCCTCATTAGAGACATCCAGCCTGGGAACACACGCATGTGTAACACGTGCTGCTCTGTTGTTCCCCACTGTCGCAGGCAATTGGGAAGATTAAGGAAAAGGTACCACGTGATGTCTTTAAAATATTTTCTGATGTGTGGGTACAGTGACACAGCAGCGGTCTGGCCTCCTCCCAGCCCTGGTCCTCATGCCTACTGGAGCCCTGTTTGTACCAAGTCTCCTGAGGCTGCCAGTACTTAATATTAATTCTGTCCCTTGCCTACTGATTGTGACCGTAAGAGATGTGCTTTACAGTCTTACTGTCCTTCTGAGAAAAAAATTTCTGAAAGAAACATGGCATAGTTGAGCATGGAGAAAGGTCTTTTACTCTTTCTCAGCTGGCACTGTTCCTTATGACCTGTGTACTGATTTTTCTTCTTACTTTTGAGCCCACCAAAGCAGAGAAACACAAGTGTTTCCACTGGGAAACAGATAAGCCTCCTTTCAGAAAGGTTTTCTTAATATTCAATATAAACTCTTGCAGCTTTAATTTTATAAAAGGCAGTAGTTAGTGTTATCTTGAAACTGAGCCAAAAATTACTGGTCTGGTTGTAACCGGATCTTCAGGCAATTCTTTAGGGAAAAATCAGGCTATTGTCTTTAATCAGTGTGCAGATTAGTTTGTTTATTATATATTTACTCATTCTTCATGCTCTTCCCCAGTTTAAAGAAAAATAAAACAAAACAAAAAAAACCCAAAACAAAACAAAAAAAAAGGTAACCACAACCTAAGAGTACAATAGGTGATTTATGATGTTTACTGTGTAATGGCTTTGCACTGTGAAGTCTAGTTTGCAAGTGGGATCTGTATTGATTTCCCTTTTGCTCTCCTTATTTCATTAGTTTATTGGAGACTTCCTGATTCTTCAGCAGTGCAAAGATCCGTAAGACTGTATTAGGAAGCTGGGGAAAGATTCACCTTATTGAAAGGGATCTTTTCTTACTCTGCTGCCAGCACAGTGCTGTACTTCATGTTGTTCCTTGGCCTTCACTCAAATTTTTTGGTGGTGTTGGCTCTGCTTCAGCTATTTCTGGTTATGTCTAGTGTCTGGATATCTTTGAAGCTGAAAGTAACAATATATCATTTAAAGCAGCCTTTGTGTTGCCTTAACTTGTGCTGAAGGGTTGTATTTGTGGATCTATACAGAGTAAGTCACAATTTGTCAGCTGTTTAGAATGGAATTCAGAAATATAAAATCTGTTTCGATATTGTCAAATATGTGCAGCTCATATGAAGCCTAAAGCCTTCATTATGCATGCAAATGTTGTAAAATATGGGTGCAGAGAAGAGACAATAGAGTCCTTGTTTTGGAGACCTCAACCCCTCACTTCTCCTTCCCGCCCCCACCCCCCCCCACCCGAGTGTTTACTGTTTATAGTAGCAATATTTTTTTAATGTTTTCCCACTTATCTACCTAGAGGGGTGGTCATCGTTATAAAGTTACCATGTAATGCTCTTTATTCATTCACTCGTTTATTTTAATATTGTTCCAGATTTTTGGATGCTATTTTTCCACCAGCTGTCATCGCAACACCAAATTTTACACTGATCCTGTTGAAGCTGTAAAAGATATACCCAATGGGGCAACTATACTTGTTGGTGGTAAATATTTAAGTTCTTTTTGGATGCAACAGCATTCTATTAATGAGATACTTTTTACTGGTTTACTATGTTTGTTTTAATATTAACGAATTTGAGAATCCATATACATGTGCGGGTATTTTAAACAGGTGATTTTCTGATTGTGCTAAAAGAACGGCAGACTCTTTCAGTGAGAAAATGCCACTTTGTGCCTTAGGGGAGGGAAAAAGTCTTAGAAATATTCCCCCCCCCCCCAACTAGTGAAGTGTTAGACTTCACTTGTACCAGTTTGAATGTAGAAAATCAACTGGATCTCTGTGACCTTCAACAAATCACCTGTTTATGGCTGTGGGAAGTGAAGATAATATTTATCAACATTACACTAAATGGCTATGTGTAGCATTTCCACAGGAGTCAAGAAGTTGTGTTATACTACTTTCACTGTGAATTGAGCTTTTGAATATTCTAGATGATTTCCACAATTTCATGCTATTTGCTCTACTGAGAGAAAATTGATCTTTCTGTGTAGTAAGCTGTAAGTGATTTTTAACATTAAAGAAGTAATTAATATAATGTTTTGAAACATGGGAAACCTCATTAGAGATGTGTAATGAGGCAAGATGCCTTCTAGGAAGAATTACTCTTTTGTTGGGTTTTTTTGTTGTTGTTGTTGGAGCAAAAGAAGGTCTGGGGCTAAGTGCTTGGGAGGAAAATTATAGTAGTTGTAGTGTTAGGGCCTGCTCTAAGACTTAAGCACCTCAAATGTGGCATGGTATTTCATTTTAGGTGTACTGGGTTCTTGCATAATAGGGAGGAGCGTGAGGCACCTCAGCCTGGGTGGAGGTCTGGGTTTACTGTGCTTCCAGTTACACATCTTCCTGAGAACATTAAGTTTCCCAGATTTTTATCACCTAATTATAGGCTAGGTGATATGGAAGAACTCCTCCCTCCTCCTGTTTGATGTTATGTGCAGCAAACTGCACATAACTGGAGGTTAGTTGGGTAGAAAGGGAACAAGGAATAATGAGTACAGTAGATGGGACACAAATCAGGAGAGCCAAGGTCCTGGAGCCCTTCTCCAAAGGCCACTTGTGTGTGAGCAGAGATGATTAAATGGCTTTCCTCCAAACTGGGAAACATCTAGAGAATGGAAGATTCCAGTAGCAGGGCACAACTCTTTCCAGAAGTGTTGGTTTTTTGAAGTCAACTAGAAGGAGCTTGTTCTGCTCAAAAAAGGTTTTTAATTAATCAGTGCACATTCTCAGACTTCTTATTAATCTGTGTTCTTTCAAACACTTGTTACATATTCAATTTTCTTTTATTTTACATAGGTTTTGGATTGTGTGGGATTCCTGAAAACCTCATTGGGGGTTTACTGAAGACTGGGGTAAAGGGAATAACAGCAGTCAGTAATAATGCAGGGTAGGTATTCATATGTCTGTGGTTTAATAAGTACAGACTAAATATTCCATTCATATGAAAAGGCTGATACGTATGAGCAAGTCTTACCTTTTGTCATAAGAATTTTCATGTTAATCATACACTTTGTTTGAAAGTGTTACTTTTGGGATGAGCCCAGAAAGTCCAGTGTTTCTTTAGATATACTGAGATTGTCAGGGAGCAACAGTCACTGTTGTAGACAGTTACGATTATGTATATTTATATATGTAACTGTTAGACTGTAACTGAAAATTCTGACTTAGATGCTTTAAATGTAGTATCAGTGATTTTTTTTTTTTTTTTTTGGTATGTGTGTGAAGTTCTAAATACGTATTTTTTTTTTTATTTATTTTTTTTTTTAACTACAGTTTGGTGCTATCTGACTTTCTTATTATGATTCTATTGCTTAAAAAACCCCTCCAAACAGCTCACCAGTGGAGAATATCTATGATGAAAGAATGTCTCTAGTGGGTCTTGGAATTTTTTATTTCTTTTAAATGTTTGCCCATTAAGAAATCTGTGTGGGGTTGTCAGTGAGAATAATTCTTTTACATATAATTCCTCAGCTTCTCATTAGGGTTAATTTTTACACAAACTGTTCATTGTATTAGACTCCAAAATACCTAACGGTCTTTGCATAGAGAAATAGCTATAGCCACTTCTGTTGAAGTGCATTGATAAAATATAATAAATAAATCATAAAACAAAAATATTGATATGCAGAGTATAATGACTTGTATTTAAAATCAGCCTTGTCAAGAAGACTTCTGTTCTGTTCCTTGCAGTGTCATTGGATGACTAGCATATGCAACTAGCCCTAACCTCAGTTCAGTGACTTATCCTATTAAACGTCACCTTCAACAACATAACAATTCCAGCATAAATTAGTTCACTGTAGATGTTAAAGACTATTGGAAGACTGATGTCTCTAATGGCATTGTACTTTATTTAGCAAATTTTCTTTGGTCAGGGAGCTCATCCTAAACTCTGTCTTGTGAAGTAAGAATCTTCTCACAGCTAGATGTACCGGGGTTATACACCCTAGTTGGTAAGGAAGGTAGTTTAAGAGAATTCTTTCCTTTTTTCTATATTTTCTTTTAATTTTTTTTTAAATGTTGCTTACTTTTATAAAATATTAATATCTGTATTACTACATTTTCTTTGAACTTTTTACTTTTGAATTCTGTATTTGTGCTGAAATAATAATAATTTTGTATTGGTTCCATGGAACTTCATAATGCTTATAATTATGAGCTATTTCCTTGTGTAGGTAGTCTCCCATCTGTTCTGTAGAAGCTCAGCCTTTATCCAAATGTGGAACAAGAGCTGTAGGGGGAAAAAAAAACCACTGGGAAACTGTTTTCTTCTGTACCTAGATTAGAATAAAAGAGAGACAAGTTTATGTGAGCCAGAAAGGTTGTTTGGGTATAAAGAACTTTGTTCTTTATACAAAATGAAAATAGATGGCTAACCTTCCTCCTTCAATTCCTTCAGCCTTGCCAAAGAAGTGAATTAGGTAGGATTTATCTAATAATGCCTTGTGCTATTTTCAGCTGCATCATTACATCTCCCATACTCTTTGTCCATAGATTTGCATCTCAATCTGTTTTGTTTTAACATTTTAACATAAGTTAAAACCAGAATACCATTCAAAACCCAAAGATCTAGTTTAGATTCCAGGCTTCTGAGACTGAAGTTCACAATATGTTTATCTTCTTTTTTTTTTTTTTTTTTTTTCCCCAGTCCTTCATGGTCTCTCTTGCACATTGATTGGGTAATAGATATGATTTGTATTGGTATTTGGCGCATACACTGTCAAACTCAAGCTCCTTAGACTCTTGTGGATGTGCTGGGTTCAGCTGTAACAGTTATTTTAATCCTTCCTAATAGCTGGTGCAGTGCTGTGTTTCGGCTTTAGCCTGAGAACAGTGTTGATAACACATCAGTGACTGGGCTTAAACCATGACAGTGGGGAGCTATTTCTGCTGGATGACAAAAAGGAGAGAGAAGGAGACAGAAATAGTTTGAGTGGAAAAATCAATCATGTAGAGATCATTCACTTTCCTCATACTCTTATCTCTGAATGACATACATATATGTAGATAGAGAGATTGCACAAACGCTTGTGGGTTGGAGGTGAGGGTTTGAGTGTGAGGAAAAGTGAAAAGAGAAACATTGTGGAATAGAATGGAGAAGAAGATATTTTGTATTGCATTCTGCATATTGGTGGTGGTGTTACAGGTTAGAATCAATTTTGATTGAAATAATGCTATCTTTCCTGAAAATTCTTCGGAGTTTGAGGCTGGAATGATTACTGTAAAATATTTAGTTGCTGGTAGAAAAACAAAATTTAATTCCCTTTTTCTTGAGACTAGTTTTCCATGATCATTCCTGGGAGTCTGGTAAGTTTCTCACACAACAGTGTATTGATTTGAAAATGCCCGAGGGCGTTTAGATTTTCATAAAGTCTAGTTTGTAAAAGTCTTCTTTTGCTCTCATGTTGAACAGCATAATTTATTTTGAAATTTAACTCATAATAAAATACAGTCTCATCTATTGCTTGGTTTGATTGTATTACTGTTATATGGAACTTAGCCTGCTATAGTTCATTAGGGTTTCGGAACCAGGTTAGAGCACCAGTGTCATCATTAAGAGGGTTACAATCCTTATCACAGCAGTTTATACCATTTAAGTGTCTCCTAATACCATGTCAAAAAGTATAGTGATGTTAAAAAATATTGCAATATTAAATTAAAATTTTAAGCTGCAGCAGCACAGCAATCATATACCCTGCAGCAATAGTATTCAAAGGGTGAGTTGTCAGGTACTTTGTGGGATAAATAATTTGCTACTTTCCAACATGCCTCAGGATTCAGTGTGTTTTCTTTTGGTGCTCTTGTGCTGCACTTGATGCCTTGCTGTGTTTCATCTTCTTGACTGAAGCTGTTTTTTTCCAGCTTTTCCAGCAAGTAGGAGGTAATTGGTTGTGGTTGGGTTTTCTCATCCTGTAGCAGAGTTAGCAGGCAGCTTGAAATTGGAGCAGGGAAGGAGCCAAGTACATAGACAGACAACCTATTCTGGAGAACAGTGCAGCTGCGTGGATTAAGTCACATGTCTCTCAATATGTGTGAACCAGAAAATGTGTTACAGAGCTATCTGTTCATAACTAAAATAGCATCAATGGAGATAGTGCTTCACTTATATCTAGGGGAAAGCAGTATTTAGGAAGTCTCACTAACTCTCTTTTAGCTGGAAAGAAAGTTCAGCAAAGCCTAGAAATGCTTGGCAGTGTCTGGAGACAACTTTAAAGGAGTAGGATGTTCTCAAGTTCACACCCTACTGCTCTATGCTGCAGTGTAATAGGAACGATATTCCTCCTGCAAATTGTTGTTTAAGTCACATAATTGCTGACAGGTAAAGTCCTTTTTCCGGCCTTTGAAAGGCTTGGAGGAACAGGTTGTATAGTAGTGTGTGGAGTGTTCTTAGGCACCCTAAGTTAGAACATCATACTGCTAAACTTACTGTCTGTTGCTGTGGATTATGTTAGTGCGTATGCTTTGCGCTAGCTAGTGAAACAGCACCATAGTTACTGTTTGCAAAGCCAAACAAGGCAAAGTGTTTGCAAGGGAAGCAGTACAAATATCCGTATCTCTGGTATTTACGTAACTTACTTCAGGAGAATCTGGAGCTTGTGAACCAGGGAGATAGTGAAAGATACCGTGGTGGGTGGGTGTGCTTCTAAAATATCACCTGTCGCACCTTTCCTTAACTTCCTTTGCCTATGTTGTTCATATTTTAAATACTTCCTTGACATTATATTATTATAAGTCCTTTAAATTTAGAGGATTCTCTCTCAGTAAGCTACTAAAATCCATTTGATTACATTTTTTGCTGCATTGTTGTTGAAATTTGGCTTGCTGTGCATATGTCAGTAGGTCCTTCTTTTAAACCTTGATCCACATTAGTATACGGTACCTTCTCGCACATGGCTGTTTTTTCATATGCTTGATGATCTGCTTGTGCTATCTTGTTGCATACTGATTTCAAGCTACAGTGGACTTGGACGTTTCAGGTCAGCCTATGCCAAGACTTCCCTAATCCAGGTCTATTGTTTGAGGATCTTTGTTGCAACAGAAAGCTATGTTCTTGTCAACATAGCTGAACATTAAAAATGAAATTTTAATGAATTGGCAACAAATTATTTTTGTTTAATTTTGCTTAATGAAATGGATAACTAATTTTGGCTGTAATCACATTCTGAGATCAATACTTCCATTCTGTCTCTACCATGTCAATAGGTTGAATTTATACTTGGTAAAAATAAAGTCCATCACTCGAGTAGCTGCGTATGTGGTCTGACCATTGTATAGAATGAGCCTCTGGGCTTTGCCTGCCTTTGGCACTTAAATACACATTCTTCTTGAATACAGTAGTATGGAACAGTAATCTTCACTTACAGTAAAAATAGAGAACTCACTGTTAATATCTTAATTACTAATCACCTGGGTGCTCATTTAAAGGGAGATTGACAGCATGCTGTCAGATTATCACAGGTTCAGACTGTCTTCTTAAAAGGCATTACAAGCTTTTTGAACCTTTAGTCTCTGAGCTGTTTTTGAAGTCCTTTTTATGTTAAAATGTTATACAACAGAAAGGAGAAAATGACTTTGAAATAAGCATTTGAACTGTTGATTATGATGCCTGAGTGCACAGTTATTTAGTTCTGTTGAACACAATACACCTGTTTTCCTAATGGGCTATTTGCAATTGCCAAATCTCCAGATAAGGCACTATATGGCGTAAGATGCACTGTTAGACTTGCTGCACCCCATATTTTGAAACACAAAAGGTATTTTTCTGTTCTTAGCATTTATCTATCCTGCCTTAAATTCAGAATATTTAACTGCGATTTGTGTTAATCTCATCTTTCAGTAATTACTTTGAATTGTATATTTCTATTAAAACCAAAATGTATCAGGCAC